GAATATATTGGGGTGTGATGGAAAATTAGATTACTAAAATTGGAATTAGAATATACGGAATTTTTGAGTGAAGGAAAACCCCAGAATCATTCAAATGACGAATGACAAAGACATCGGTTTAGCACTGAGGCTAGGACAACGGATTCAAAGTTTGCATAATCATAGGGCAAGGTTATATGAGGTCCAGTCCGAAAATATTTATAAGATTTAGTGCGTGAATGATTAATGGTATAAGGGCTACACAATTTTAGAAAACAAAATTCGATTTACATAAAAACAAGCTATCCTAGTTCCCATTTGGAAACTGATTTATGTATTTCTTTATTTCGAAATTTTCTTTGTTTTCTTTACAGGTCCAGGCTAAAAAGCAGAAAGTTCGCCGGGATGAACATTGAATATACTCCACCATTTGTAACGAAATTGTAAATTTTCTCAAAAAAAAAAAAAAAAATCCGTTAAAATTCTGTTAAAATCTTAAAAAATACCGTATACAGGGAGTTGCCGTCATTTTGGGCTCTATACGAAGACCTAGACCTGCATAGACAATTTTCTGTCACGAAATTTGAAACAATTGCGATGAATAATTTCGCTAAAATCATCAAAATACCGAATATAGGGAGACACCGTTATATACCCATTAGGAACTTCAAATACAAAATTTGAAATTATTCCGCTGAATAATGTCGCTAAATTCATCAAAATTCCGAATATAAAGAGGTACTGTCATATGTGGCCTATACGAAGACCTGGACCTGCATAGGAAATTTTCTGTCACGGCCAAATGCCGAATTTAGGGAGGTACAGTTATATGAGGAAATAACGAAGACCTTGACCTGCATAGGCAATTTTTTTCATAGGCTGTAGTACCCGTTACAAATCTCAAATACGAAATTTGAAACAATTCCGGTGAACAATGTCGATAAAAGCATCAAAATACCAAATATAGGCAGATACAGTTATATGGGGGCTTTACCTGAACGTAAACCTATACAGGGTGAAATAAAAAAACTGCAACAAAGTTAAACGCCATAATTTTTACATTTTGTTATTGAATGAAAGCAAAAAATGTCGGAATTTTAGAATGAATTTTAAAAATTTAGATTTGTTTGAATTGGTCACCTTTGGCCGGAATGTGGCTCCGCGGTTTGTTGCCTCTTTCCCTGCGAAGCGCTTGCTTGAGGTGATCGACACTTGGGAATTTTTTAGTGCCAACCTTGCTTTTCAAAATACTACAGACACAATGGTCCAACGGATTGGCATCCGGAGATTTTGGTGGCCATTGTGCGCTGGAAATGAAGCCAGGAACTTTATTTTGTAACCATTCTTGGGTGGCGCGTGCTGAGTCCTGTTAGAATGTCCAAGGTCTGCGGCCAAAATGTTAGTGTGCCCAAGGCTTTAATAAATCCTCCATAATATTTTCGCGATAACATTCGGCATTTATTCTGATGCCACAGTCGATTAATACGAGCGGAGAGCGACCATCGGCTGTTATGGCGGCCCACACCATCACCATGGCCAGCCCTTGAGTTCTGGTGTCCAACCGAAGGTGCAGGACAACGAATATTTTCTCATCGGAGCGGAGAAAACCAAATTCGGCAGGTCACTACATTCGGTCAAGCGAAACAACTCTTTAGCTCCTTTGAGACTATTTTCTTTCTGTTGCGGTGTAAGTTCTGCACTTTTTGGAATTTCCATGACTTTATCCCGAGCTCATTTTTCAATATTTGCAGAATGGAATATTGCGATATGTTCAGATTACTAGCCATTTTTCGGACACTGTGACGAGGGTTTCGATCAAGTCGCTTCTTTACTTTTCGAACCGTTTCTGCTGATGTTGCTGTTTTTCAATTCGTTCGGAAGCTAGAGTGATTTATGCTGATCAGGATTATAAATACTTTTTGGGGTCTAAAATGTATATTTCGAGGTGTTACAAACTGAATGACAAACTTAATATACCCTCCATACTACGATGGAGGGCATAAAAATACATACAAAGATGGGACCCAAATTTCATAACTAGAATTCACATACTTCATAATAAAATACATTTTGAGTTATTTCTCCTTAACCTAATAAATAGCTCACATTCACAAATGTATGAATATCGCCACACACACATCCAACCATCCATTCGATTGTTAACTCTTATACAAATTTAGTTTACATACAAAAACCTTTCTTTTTTCCATTCCATAACTAACAAAATATAATATTGTGTGGTATTTTCACCCCATCCCCCACACATTTTCAACAGCATTTTGTAGTAACTGTATTCCTCGATATTGTGGGAGGCAGAGAAATTGGTGGTTGGAAACTTAGTTTTGCCGTGATGTGTTGCGTTTTTTGCTCGTTATGAGTCTCCGCGCTTTCTCCTGGCATGATAATGTTTAGTCAATACAAATGATTTGTCAAATCACGAAATTTGATACAACAAAAACCGCGAAAACAAATTACACCCAACCACCGAAGGAAACGTAGAAAACGAAATATCGCAGCAACGAATTTGCAAAAGGCAAGTTCTTTTTTCAAGGGGACTGCGAAAAAAACTGGCAAATTGGAGTTGAAGTGAAGTTAAATGCGAATACGATTTTTTCAAGAGGATATTGGGGCAGATGACGGGGTACAATGGTGTGGTTTAAAGAGACAACCTAAACTACAGATAAAACTTTCTTATATGAAATTTTGAATACGGCTCCGACGAAATTTTCCTTCGACTCCATAAACATGAATTCTAACGATTTTTTCTGACTTAAGTGAAATTTGTAAATTTTTTTTAAGAGCATCAGTGCCTTAAACATAGTTTTGTGATTTATTCTTGAAGAGCCAAAAAGCGTTTCAATAATTTTTTTATTAGGAAATAAAGAAATGAGGATTTTTTAGTTTTTTTTTTATGGATTCTCAGGAAGCCACCATAAGAATCCAGTTTAAAGGACTATCAGTCCCATAAACTTGTCTTTTTGATAACTTATCAAGAACTATCATTTGGTTCGTTTTGAAGGATCAATTGCGATCTTTTCTTGAGAATTTTCATGAGGTTTCAATGTAAATTTTTAAAAATTTGTCTTCAATGGTATTTGGGAACTATTGGTATTGGGAACTATTCTCCAAGAGCAGAACGGATAATTTTCCTCGTTGGTACTCACGTTTTTTTTTTTCTTAATTTTTCTTGAAAGGTCAACGTGGATGTTTAGGAATATTTCTTGGGGCAACATGGACCAAAAAGATTTCTTAATATTAAATAAAAATAGAAATTATAGAATTGTAATTTTTTCATATGCAGATTACTTCTGGGAGTAGAAATTCGCTCAAATATTTTTTGAAGTGAAAATTTAAGATTCCTGCATTCTTGTCGAAGTCTATTTTGCAACAGGCCCAAATTTAGAAATATAAAAATGATATTCTTCACTCAAATCGGCAGAAATTCCGAATCCTCTGTTTATAAAAAGCTTCCTCGCTATAGTTTTGTAATATATGCCCTCCACTTGTATAGCCCCTAAATGAAGACCTTTAGCAATTAGTAATATTTTCTATAACCTCAATAGTTATACAACAATATTCCTATTTTTATAATTCGAGATTTTAGTTCAATGGGAGAGTGTAGCATTTTCACTAGTTTATATTTACTACTTTCTACCTCCCACATATTTTCGCCCCACTTCCCTGCGTAGTCAAAATTAAATAAATTTTGTTGGAAAAAATAAAAATTCTTTACAAATTTATGAGGTTTTGTTTGGTACGTAAATTTACCATTCCATGTAACGCAACGAAGGTATTTTGTTGCTAAAGCCAATAAAATATGTTTTGCTTGAAGGGTAAGCACATTTTATTTGCGTAAACTCCTTATACAAGTTTCGATGTTGTTGTTCCTCCTGTTGTTGCTTTACAAAATTGAGACATAAATTGCGATATGAATTTCCAAGGAAAGTCGCATTTGAGGAAGAGACAATTTTGAGTTGACAAAATATTTCATAAATCACAAATATTCTTTTAGAAAAATATATAAACAGTTATTTGGGAGAGAGAGAGAGAAGGAAATGTGGGTATGAAATGTAAGTATGCATGTATGCAACGGAGAACATAAACAGTGGTTTCAAAAGAGAGAAATATGTGATGTTCGGAATTGAAATTAACTGGAACATTTTGATTTTCCACATTCTCTAAGGAATGGACCCACTGTAAAGTAACAGATAAGGAATAAAAATGAGAATCGAAGAATAAATAAAATTATGATTTTTCTTCTACCGATAAAGTGTCCTGATAAGATTCTTTAAGTGTATTTATGTCAATATACATATGCGTTTACAAAACATGAAGAAATGGTCTATCAAATCAACTCCAAAACTGCAGAGGTGTTATGTTTTAATTTAAAAAAAAACTGCCGATTTTCTTGAGAAAATAATTATGGAATTAATTTAAAAATGATAGATAAATTTCAACATAAAATAGAGTTGCATTTTCCAAATGGAAAAATGAGACTACTCCTATAAATCTGGCATGGGATGATTCATAGCTCTTTTCGTTCTTTATATTTGCCATTTTACCCCACTGTGCCCCTTATAGACATTTCTCCAAAAATAAAATACCTAAAATGCTGGGGGAATTCAAATGTAAATTTTGTAAAGTTATGTTAACTTCATTTGCATTTTTTTCGCAAATAAACAACAACGACGGCAACAAAGCACATAAATCTTTGTCAGGACAAAGAAAAGGGTCTGCTGCGATTTACCACTGATTGGGTTATTCACATTGATATTTGGTTGGGTATCCTTACTCCTTTCCACACCCCCTCCGTTTCGTTCGTTATTGGAAATTTATTCAACACCTAATTTAAACTGATTGAACTTAATTCTTGATGTGATAATAAATTGTTAAAGGAAATTGTTTAATTTCCGTTTTTATTTAGTTTGCAATGCATTTTTTTCTTTCGATTTCATACTGGTCGGTTTTAAACAAAATTTGTTATTTATGTTGAGGGAGTTGCGAGGGTTGATAACACTTACCTGTACACGAACTTCAGGCAAATTGACTTTCATTGCCAATTCTTCGCGGGAATATACATCAGGATAATGGGATTTCTCGAAAGCTCTTTCCAGTTCATGCAGCTGATAGGTGGTGAAGGTGGTGCGATTACGTCGATGTTTTTTCTTTGAACAATTATCATCTTGACCTGGAAGAAAGTAGAGGAATAATTATAGAACAAACAAAAAACATTTAAAATTTTTAAAACATTTAGTAGTCATAAAACCAGCTCCATATAGGCCGTTTATATCGATATCCGCTTATCTTCAAGTATATCAACTTTACAAAGGAGTCTTTAGATCTCCAATGTAGATAAAGACCTTCTACAGATAGTAAAGTTTTTTCAGGTCTTTTGCAGATAGTAAACCTTTTACAGGCCTTTTGCTGCTAAAATACGTTTAAGAGGTTTTCTACAGATAGAGGACCTCTAAGAGGCCTTCAGTAGACATAAGACCCTTGACTGTTTTTGTACAGGCTTTTAACAGATCTTCAATTAATATACCCTTTTATTAGGTCTTCCAAAGATATAAGACCTTAAATAGGTCTTCTATTGATATAAGACCTTTAACAGATCTTCCAAGATAGAGGTCTTCAACAGATAGCAGAACTTAAACAGGAATTCTATAGATAGAAGACCTTTTAAATGTCGTATCTATAGAAGATCCTAAACAGGTCTTCTATAAAGAGAAAAGACATAGCAGGTCGTCTATGGATAAAGGGCCTTTAATAGGTATTCTATAGAGACAAGACCTTTAGCAGATCTTCTATGGAGAGAAGACCTTTAACAGGTCTTTTAAGGAGAGAATACCTTTAACAGGTCTTCTATGGAGAGAAGATATTTAACAGATCTTCTATAGAGAGAAGACCTTTAACAGGACTTCTATGGGGATAAGACCTTTAACAGGTTTTCTATGGAGAGAAGACCTTTAAGAGTTCTTCAATAAAGAGAAGACCTTCAGCAGGTCTTCTGTGTAGATAACAGGTATTCATATAGAGAGGATACCTGTAACAGGTCTTCTATGTAGAGAAGACATTTATAGAGAGAACGTCTTTAACAGATCTTCTCTAGAAATAAGGCCTTTAACAGATCTTCTCTAGAAAGAAGGCCTTTAACAGGTCTTCTATAGAGAGAATACCTTTAACAGCTCTTATTTAGGGAAAAGACCTTTAACAGCTCTTCTATAGAGAGAAGGTCAATAACAGGACTTCTATAGAGAGATGACCTTCAAAAGGTATTCTGTGGAGAGAAGACCTTTATCAGGTCTTCTGTGGAGAGAATACCTTTAACAGGTCTCCTATGGAGATAAGACCTTTAACAGGTCTTCTGTGGAGATAAGACCTTTAACAGGCCTTTAACAGGTCTTCTGTGGAGAGGAGAATTTTAACAGGCCTTCTATGAAGAGCAGACCTTTAACAGATCTTCTATAGAGAGAAGGCTTATAATAGATATTCTATGGATAGAAGACAACAGGTCTTCTATAGAGAGCGTACCTTCTTCTTCTATGGAGAGAAGATTTTTAATATGTCTTCTATGAAGAGAAGACCTTTAATAGGTCTTCTTTAGGATGAAGACCTTTGACAACCCTTCTATAGACAAAACATCTTTTACAGGCCTTCTACACATAGAAGACCTGGCTATCTCCATGTAAATACCCCCCTTAAAAACTATCAAACCCCACCTACCTTCATCATCACTTCCCGAGGTGATTTTCTCACCCTGTTCACTGGAATTGGTCTGATTGAGATCTTCGCTGGAGGCACAGCTGCCATTCATTAGACTATCATTGTCATTTAGGCGATCCGCTTGATCACCACTTGAGCCATTGACACCTCCATTGGGACCATTTCCCCCCGGACCAGACATGCGGCCATATTCATCCAAATGTTTTTGCTGTGAGTGGCCCGACAAATGACCCGCCGTCGAATTGCTGTGCTGTTCAAAATTACCATTAATTGGGAAATTTTGATTTTGCATGTCCTCCAGTGAACGAGGTCGCACCGAACCATCAAATTGGGCCTTCATGGAGTAGCCACCATCATTACCGTTCATAAGAGATTTGGAAAAATTCTCGGCATCATTTGCGTTATTGTTGTTGTTATTATTATTGTTAAGAGAATTCATATCATCACAGTAATTGGCAACCGCCGAAGAATTCGATTTTCTTTTCAGACCCGAACCATTTCCATAACTATGCAGCGATGCCATTTGCGGTGACTGCGGTGAGGAGGAGGTAACATCAATGTTGTGGCTCTCATTGTGATCGTGTGGCTCCTCATCATCGGTAATATCGGCATCAATTTCTCCGCCATTCGACAGCGAAGACATGGAACGTTCATCGTAGTCGTGCAGATTGGAGACGCCACCACCTGCTCCTCCACCTCCATTGGAGCTATAGAATGAGGAGGCCGCTGCCGACATTTGATTAGCCATTGTGGAGGCAACCATTACTGCGGCAGCCGCTGTTGCTGAATTCACCGCCGTAACCGAGGACGAGGCCGCTGATGAGGCGACAGATGACTTGGCAAATTTGTGATCATGTTGTGCCTGGGCGTGTGCCGCCAGCGCCGCCAAATGCTGTTGATGACTGTGATAGACACTGGCCGTTGTCTGCAGTGATGGCGGGGTTGGTGGTGTCGTCTGAGGCGTCATGGCATGCGAATTCAGATCATTGTTGTTGGTCGGGTTCAATAAATTATTAGCTTCGACCATTTGATGCATTGAATTCAAATAATCATTACCCGAGGCCATGGCCGAGGGGCTGCTGAGACGACTGCTGCCAGCCAAGCCATTAAAATCATCTCTATTATCGGCTGGCGAACTACTGCCTCCATAATGAAGGTGGGCATTGTGATGATTGGGTGGGAAATGTTGTTGCTGCTGCTGGTGGTGCTGTGCGTGGTGATGATGGTGCTGCCCATGTTGGTGTTGTTGCTGAAAATTCATTAAGCTATTGTGATAGCTGAGATGAGAGTGTGCTGCTGCATGTTGTTGCGTATGATGATGATGATGTGGAGGCGGCGGTCCTAAGTGCATTGCCAGTGAACTTGCATGTGTTGCACCACCAGCACCGGTAGGTGAAGGCAGGGGAAAATTGACATTGCTGTTGCGTTGATGCTGCTGCATCAATGTCGCCATGTGATTATCCATGTTACGCAATTGTGCCAATGTTTTGTTGGCACACCGAAGATCGGTGGCATCATCGGAATCATCTGGAAAAAAAGATGGGGAGAATTGAGAAATCTATATATATAAATGTAAGTTGTGTTAGTTACTACGCTTATAACTTAAGAATCGCTGGACTGATTTTAACGATTCACACAAATTCGGAATTGTCTCCTCTCCGAAAAGGATAATATCCAAAAAAATCGCGTAAAAATGTGATATATTAACATTTTCATTTTGACTTTTCAAATGTACAATAGTAATGTTTTATTTTGCATGATTTTTTTTCCATTTTGACTTTCTTTTTTCTAATGTACATTTGTAGTGTTTTTTATAATTTATTTTTGAATTCGAATATTAACACCAATTTATTTAATTGACTTGATTTCTTGAGAACTGAAATTGATGGGGGTTACATGGAAGTGTAGTACCGAATTAGGTGGCGAAACGGAATAGATGATATCGAAATAATTTAACGCCGTCACACCAAAGTTAAAAGATAATTACTTTTTCAAAATCGCTAAAAAATCACGAAAAAAAAAAGATTTAATTGCAAAAATTGTCAAAACGGGAAAAAATCGAAAACAAATTTCAATGGAAGCGAATTTTAAAATAATAGCACATGCTATTGATAAACTTTGTAAGGATCTTTAAACATTTGCTGTAAAAAATCAGCGAACAAGTTGAAGATTTTTTCAATTTGTTATTCTTCTTTTGTCAATTTTTTTCAATTTGTATTATCATATTGAATTCAGTGAATTTTTTGTGAACAAAATAAAGAATAATTTTTCACTACATACAATTTTTCACCAAAAAATGAAATAAGTGCGAAATACGATGTTAACTGACATCTACCTTTCAACTCCAGGGCCGACATCGTAGTTCAGCTGGAAGATGCGAACACATTTAAACAAATAAAAATTACCGAAAAAAAAATTACCGAATCCTAATGGAGCTCATTTCAAAGCGTGGACCTACTTCTTTCATGTGACAATAATCCGTCCAATGAGAGCTCAAAATGCAAAATTCTTTGGGAGTACAATCAGTACAATACCAAATTTAAAGGGTGCAAAATAGTAGAGCGAATGGGACTTTTAGTAAGAAAAGGATTTCTATCCTTCCAAAAATACTTCCCAAACATTCAAGATACCTTAAATCGCTTTCGCAGGTCATGATATCGATCATAACTCACTGATAAGGGTGCAACCCGATTTCCTATTTATATAACCATCGTATGATTTAAGCTACTTATTTAAGTAAAGTCCCCACTTTGGAATATCCCAAGTCCACTTTCACATCTAATGTGTGGTCAGAAAAGAAAATTTTGTATTCTATTGAATTTGTAACCCCCAAGAGAATATTGGTAGGGCCACGTTTTGGTATAACCCTCATATGAATGTATCCCTGATTCCAGCTATGACTGTGGTCTTGGCCACGTATTTCAAATGATTTGGCCATTACTTGGCATCTTGGCTTTTCTATTTCTTGACCACATTTTCCAATCGATTTTGCTGTATTTAGGCTACTTTGTGAGTAGAGAACCATCTTTTAGAAAAATGTCAACATACGTAAATATGTTGATACAGTCCCGATATAATCCCCTGGGCCGCCGATCTATAGTGATTTTTATCGATTGGCAGACGACAACACGGGCATTGTTTAATCGTCATTGAATTTTATTATGAAAAAGAACATAGACTTTTTGGGGACGCTAATGCACAATTTGAGGTGCTATGGTAATGGGTGTAAAAGCGTAATTAACTTTGACTATTCAGAAATTATTTTGGTATTTATTTCTATTTAGTCGGATCAATATTTATATTAAAATTTGTTCACCTTTATGAGCTAGATTTGTGAAAGATTATGCTATAAAATTTGCATTACAGACTAAAACTACGGGCCGGCAACGCGGACCGGACCAGCTAGTTGTAAATAAAGAGGAGTATAGAAAGTAGGATATATCAAAGGAGTAGATCATACAATGAGATATACTATGGATCTAACTGTGCTTTTTATTATTCGTCCTAGAAGCGTACAAATTTAAACTGTATGTTCGGCCTGGCCGAACTTTTTATACCCTCCAAAGAAAAGAATCCATCGAAATTTCTGTTAAAATCTGTAAAACACACGAAAAACAATGTAACCATTTTATTAGGGTCTATACGACGACGTGGACCTGCATAGGAAACTTTTGTCATACGCTATTACAATATTCAAATGCGAAACTTGAAAAAATTCGGTGAATAATGTAGCTAAATCATCAAAATGCCGAATATAGGGAGGTACTATTACAGGGTGAGATGAGAAAACTGCAACCATCCTCAGACTGCTGTCATTTTTAAGCCACTAGACCGACAGCTGTTAAAATTATTCCAGTGACAGCTCATTATATTGTTTACAAGCTTACAAAAGCATTCTGGTGAGAATTTTCCAGAAAAAAAGTTATTCGTGATGGAATTCAAGTGTGATAGTGTGATTTCTTTCTATTTGGCTGGAAAACCACAAGTGGCTATCGTTAGAGCACTCCATGTGATATGTGAATAAATCTTTTGTGTCTCGTAACATCGCTTGTTACCGTGATAGTGGTAACGCAGCCCAACACCAAAGAAGTGAACGGAAGAAAACAGCAACAGCAGCAGAAATTGTTCGAAAAGTAAAGAAGCGACGTGATCGAAACCCGCATCGCAGTGGCCGAAAAATGACTCGTGAGCGGAACATATTGCAATATTCCATTCGGCAAGTATTGAAAAATGAGTTTGGGGTACAGCCATGAAATTTTGAAAAGGTGCAAGAACTTACACCACAACAGAAAGAAAATAGACTCAAAAGAGCTAAAGAGTTGCTTCGCTTGGCCGAAAGTAGTGAGCTGTGGAATTTGGTATTCTCCGATGAGAAAACATTCGTTGTCCAGCGGTTTGTAAACAAACAAACTGATCGTGTTTACTTGCCAAAGAGGTCAGCTAAAAATGTGCACCTTTGGTTGGCCACCAGAACTCAAGCGCCAGCCATGGTGATGGTGTGGGCCGCCATAACAGCAGATGGTCGCTCTCCGTTCTTATTAATCGACCGTGGCAATAGAATAAATACCGAATATTATCGCGACAATATTCTGGTGGGTGTATCAAAGCCCTGGGTACGCAAATATTTTGGCCGCAGTCCTCGGACATTGCAACAGGACTCAACGCCATTGCACTCAGCTCGCGTCACCCAAGAATTGTTACAAAATGAGGTTTCTCGCTTCATTTCCAGCGCACAATGGCCATCAAAATCTTCGGATACCAATCAGTTGGACTATTGTGTCTGGATTATTTTGGAAAGCAAGGTTGGCACTAAAAAATACCAAAGTGTCGTTCACCTCAAGCAAGCGCTTCGCCGGGTATGGGCCAAAATACCACAGAGCAACATTCGGGCAGCGTGTGACGTGGTTTCATTGGTCGTTTGAAAGTCATAATTCGTGCCAAAGGTGACCAATTCGAACAAATCTAAACATATTCTAAACGTTGAGGCTATTTCCGACATTTTTTGCTTTTATTCACTAAAATTTAGAAAAAAATGTAAAAATTATGGCGTTGCAGCAAAAACTTTCCGTTTGCAACACACCTAAATATTCGTCGTAAACCCTAAATATATATCCATAATCAGCATAAAAAAAATTTATCTATATCCGTCTGTCTGTCCGTCTGTCTGTCCGTCTGTCTGTTCAAATCACGATACAGCCCACATTATTTGACGTAGAGCGTCAAAATTTAGCAGAACAATTTGCGTTGTATCTAGGATGGTTGGTATTGAAAATGAGATATATCGGTCCACGTTTTGGTATAGTCCCCATATAATGGTACCTCCCGATATTCGGTATTTTGACGATTTTTGCCACATTTTTTACGGATTTGTCTGAAAATTGGTATTTGTAGGTCATAATGGGTTCTAATTCGTGCGGCGAAATATTGTATGTGTGTGTGTCCACGCTTTGGTATAGCCCCCATATAACGGTACCTCCCGATTTTTGGTATTTTGAAGATATTTGCAACATTTTTCCAAGGATTTGTCTAAAAATTGGTATTTTTGTTCGTTATGGATTCTAGCTTCGGTGGCGAAACATTGCATGTATAGGTCCACGATTTGGTATATCTCTATATAATGGTACCTTCCGATATTCTGTATTTTGATGGTGCCATTATATAGTTGATGAGTATAGAGTATATATAGATAATTTTCGGCTAAGGGAGAAAATGGCATAACAATTGACCAACATATGTAATCGCAGACGTATTTTCAAAATATTTCGTCAGATTGGCAAGTGCATATTAAAAACTTAAACAAAAAAACTTAAAACTTAACTTAAAAAATGTGGCTAAAATCATCAAAATATAAAATATTCGTTCCGACTCTAGCGTAATTTTAACAGATGCTGATCAAGAATAGGTATACTTTGTAGGGTTTAAAATCTTTATTTCAATGAGTTACAAACGTAATGACACACTTAATATAACCTCCATACTATGTATGTGGAGTTTATAAAAATTGATTCAAATACCTCTAGATATTCGGTATTTTGATGATTTTATATCCATTATTACCAATTTTTCTTAAGTTTCGCATTTGAATATTGTAATGGCTTATGACAAATATGACAGCTACACTCGGTATTTTTAAGATTTTAACAGAATTTTTAACGGATTTTATTGTTTTTGAGAATTGCCAAATTCGTTCCAAATGGTGGAGGGTATTCAAAGCTTTCAGCTTTTTACTTGTTCTATTTGCACTATAGAATTTTTTAAAAATCCAAAAATGTGGACATAGTCGAATTTCGTAAAATATCGGATTTATTTACCGATTTGATTGGCAAATCCAAATTAACAAATAATGATTTTTTGCATTTTTGTTAAAATTCACCACATTTTTCTACATCCCTCCCCACTGGAATACAACTCCTACACTTCATCCTTGCCAAGGATAAAATTAATCGAAATTGAAACCATTAGCCTTGCTGCACTATAATTTAAAATCAATAACATATCAATTAATGCGCTACCATCAGACCGCTTAT